GAAAAGGTCAGGTGTATTACCAGGGATACATGTCTGAGGAACGGAGGTTTCAGTTAGGTACCCCACAAGGGGGAGTATTAAGTCCCACCTTATTCAATGTATTAATGAACAGATTAGCATCAGAGATGTATCCTCCAGGGGTCACGACGATCATATATGCTGATGACATTCTTATACAAGGCACTTCTGGGAACAAAATTCAAGATGCTCTTAACATACTTGGTACAACCTGTCACAAGTTAGGCTTAGTTATAAATGCAGATAAAACCAAATACGAGTATAGGAAACGAAGAAATATAACACTTACTCTAAATGGTGTGGAACTGAGCCGTGTACAGAAGTACAAGTATCTGGGCATGTATGTTGGATACACATGTGAGAGTAAAAATGCTGAAATAAATCATATCAGCACCTTATGTAAAGCCCGTCTGCATCCTATAAAAGCACTGGCTTTTTCTGGTAAAGGTGTTGGGGTACCTATCTTGCGGATGTTATACATAAGCACTGTTCGATCCCTGATAGACTACGCAGCACCCGTATTGTCTTACACAGGCCAAGGCAGAATTCAAAAAATAGAGCTGATACAGAACGAGGCTATGAGGATTATTCTTGGATGTCAAAGAAATGCAATGATTGAAATAATGAGAATGGAATTAAATTTACAGAGTGTGTGTGATAGAGTCCGTGACATTAACACTAGAGTATCTATTCGTTTCATGCGGAGAAAAGGAGGGGATAAGCTGTTTGAGAGCGTTCAGACCTGCTTGAGTGACGTACACACTTCCAGGAAACTGAGGGAGACTCGCTATACGAGAGGATTAGCTCATGACCTCAGGGAATACGACGTACTTGACTGCTGTAAACCCTCTCGAAAGTGTAATATGTCTGCTCCCTGGAAAGTACAGAAAATAGACGTCGAAATTGTACCCCTCAAGGTGAAAAAGATTCATCATGAACCGGGACAATTACGGTGTTTGTATGGAAGCATGATATCTCGGTTACCAAGAGGCAACAGTTTACATGTATATTGCGACGGGTCGGTGGCGGAGGATGGCAGGGCAGGGTGTGGTGTCCTAATAAGGGATTATACGGAGTTTGGGACTGTGGACAGGATAATTGAACTCCGGCTTAGTAATTATATATCATCCACACAAGCTGAACTGCAGGCCATTCTGGCGTGTTTGGAGGAAGTACGTCATGACGACAAAAATGTTTTTGTATTTGTCGATAGCCGAGGAGCACTGGAGTCCTTAAACAGTAGAAACCCAGTCTTCATGTCTATAGTGGAGGACTGTAAGAGAAGAATAACTGAGATACAGCTGAAAGGTTATAGTGTGAAATTCATGTGGATTCCATCTCATGTTGGAATAGTGCTTAACGAGGTGGCGGATGACTTGGCCAAACGTGCCACATCAAAACCACAAGTTGACATCGAATGTGAATTCACAATGAGACAAATAAGAAGCAAAATCAGAAATATTCAGGCACAGGCGGGAGTGGAGAGGAGAGAGATAATGTATGAGAGTAGTCAAACCATGCAACACTACATGTATGTGAGTCAAAACACCCATTTCACTTATGGTAAAAGGAGAAATGCTTGGAGTGACTCTGTGTACATGCGGCTCAGGCTTGGGTACAAATATTACTGGGAATATGGGATAGATGTTCATGGTAATGACACGAAGTGTAAACTATGTGGTATGTTAAGGTCTCACACCCTTGCCCATTATATTCTTGATTGTCCGTTGATTAGTGTATATAGAAACACTGAGATAAGGACTGTTCCTGAACCCTTGACCTTATCTGACTGACTGCGTAGTCCCCCAAACCCGGTTTCAAGCAATTTTCGTTCTTAAAGCCACTTCATTCAACTCAAGAGTTAGCTGTTTATAACGAAGACATCAATGAACCACTTTTAGCTCATTTCCTCGTTAGAAACAATTAATTTGGTCAGAAATGTTGAGAGTTGTCTCGCGAAATAAACGGCTCGTTGAACGTAATTTGTTGCGTATATAACGAATGCTTTCGGAAACTAGTTTAAAGTTCAGGGATAACTTCGTTAAATTGGGTCAAGTTATTCGTTGAATTTAACGAGTTTTGATAATACGGCTCTCGTTCAGTTCCCTCGTTAACTGCGGATAGTTTGCCTCTGGGTTGAACGAATAAATTCGGTATTTAGGTAAACTTCGTTAAAGGAACGGAAGTCGACCCGAGGGAGACCCGATGGAGCGGGATATTCGACCCAGTGGGCGGGAAACTCGACCCAGTGGGCGGGAAACTCGACCCAGTGGGCGGGATACTCGACCCAGTGGGCGGGAAACTCGACCCAGTGGGCGGGAAACTCGACCCAGTGGGCGGGAAACTCGACCCAGTGGGCGGGAAACTCGACCCAGTGGGCGGGATACTCGACCCAGTGGGCGGGAAACTCGACCCAGTGGGCGGGAAACTCGACCCAGTGGGCGGGAAACTCGACCCAGTGGGCGGGAAACTCGACCCAGTGGGCGGGAAACTCGACCCAGTGGGCGGGAAACTCGACCCAGTGGGCGGGAAACTCGACCCAGTGGGCGGGAAACTCGAAAGAAGAAATCAAATAGGACCATGAACTCAAACGCGATATCTCGCGACAGACTCCAAAAACCGGGGGGGGGGGAACCGGACGCTAAAATGGAGAACGTCATCACCCATTAAATACTTCCCTCAGTGGGTGTTTACGTGGGTCGCCTCCCACTGCCTCGTAGAAGCCCTTGAGTGCGTCTTTCTGCGGGCGGTGACGCAATGTTCCGCTGCTTCGTGCCCTTACAAGTGTAATGAACACTAATGAACCCAATAGACTCGGAGGCGCTGGGTGAAGTCACGGGTCTGTATTCCTCCTGGTGAAGTCACGGGTCTGTATTCCTCCTGGTGAAGTCACGGGTCTGTATTCCTCCTGGTGAAGTCACGGGTCTGTATTCCTCCTGGTGAAGTCACGGGTCTGTATTCCTCCTGGTGAAGTCACTGGTCTGTATTCCTCCTGGTGAAGTCACGGTTCTGTATTCCTCTTGATGAAGTCACTGTTCTGTATTCCTCGAGGTCTCCCAAAATGAATTATTTATGCTATTTATATAAATAACTTCAAAATTGTGGTTTAGGGCACCCTATTTTCAAATGATAAATCCTGGAACTTATGCATGTTAGTTTTTTTTCTATAATATATATAGTGGAAGGGAGTACCACCTGTGGCTGGAAAAAGGGGACCTTTAGCCTCGGAGAGACGTACACATAACGCATTAGAGGGGATTTTTAGAACCCCTCCGAAGCAGTTTCCATGTTTTTCTTTTTAATTTTGTATATAATCTAGATTATCTATTGTTATATAACCTAGCTTATTTATTGTTATATAAACTATATTATCTATGAAAACTTTCAGATAATATAAGTACATTTAGTATAAACATATCTATTTTACATTTAAAACTGTAAAATTTGTATTATGAAACAATATAAAAATGTATTCCTATGTTAATTACAAGTTACATTTAACTTAGTAATTACATAAATATTTAATGATAAAACATCATTAAAATAACTGCAAATATTATGCATGTAATTAAAAGCAACTGCAAATATTATACATTATGAAGAGATAATCTTTATAGCTATTAATCTGCATCTTTAAAACAAAAGAAATTTAGACCTTAAATTAGGAAGACTTGTCAGCACTTAAAGACGCTTTGATAAGCTTTTGAAATGCTCGAATGATTGGCAGATGCAGTTTAATGGTCACAAATGAAGGGTTCTGAAGGAAGGTGATGTAAGTTATCAGGTGGAAAGTGTTGAAATTGCCAAGTAAGTTTGTAAATCAAAGTTGTGCAACATTTGAATTGTTGAATTGATGCAACTATTGCAAGATATTCATAACATGATTAACAAATATATTCCGAATAATTACCGATTCCAGCACCGTATTAATGCATTGTTGATACTATGAACTTATAATGCTATATTTAATAGCTTTAAAATTGTGGTTTAGGGTTCCAAGGTATTATATGCAAATCCCGATTCATATACGTAAGTTAGTTTTTACAAACAATTACATTGGTTATCTATGTAAAATATAAAAAAATATTTTAAATATATTAAAATTATTTAAACCTTATTATGTAAATATAAATTATATTATTTGTCGTATTTTAAAAGTTATTAAATGTAAAAACACGTATAAACCGCATTAAATACAATTTAAATTTAAATAAATTTGGTAACTATACTGTATATAGATGCAAAACATGACGTGATTAAAATTTAGAAGGCGCAACTAACATATTATAATTCAATAATCGCAAAAGCCATTAGTCTACAACTTCAAGCCAACAGGAAACTTTGGCGTTAAATTAACAAGACTGAATTCAAGACAAGACAGATCACTGAATTCAATAAACTGTTTCTATTGCATTTGAAATGCTCGATTGATTGGTAGATTCATTTTAATGTTGACAAATTTAGGTTTTGAGGCTAGGTAATAATGAGTCACTAAATATCAGCTAGAAAGTGTTGAAATTCCTAAGTCTCATTGCAAATCATACTTGTGCAAAATTCAGATTGTTACAATGACGTAAGAAAACTATTTCCATAATTTTTATAAAATATTTATATATCTGTTAAATCATTCCCTGCTCCTGTACAGTATTTAACTCCTGTAGCCACTTTGAATTTATAATATTACTTTAGTAGCATCAAAATTGTGAATTAAAATTCCAAGTTATAATTCGCAAATCCTATATTTTTATCGTATTCCAACTAATGGTCCCAAGAAGTGGCCCCAGCTTCTTGCTCCTCAAAAGATATTCGGAGCAATTCAGTTATTTTTGTCTCCTTGGAGCGGCCGCGGGCCATATGCTTCACTCACGGCTTCCCACAAGCGTTAAGTAATACTAAGGACTCGTAAAGCCAAGGAGAAATGAACTCGTAAAATATACGGAAGGATGGCACTCCACCCGGGCCGCCACACCTCTCAATGCTCACTAACGGGCCACAAGTTCCTGTGATCCGTAGTGGGCCGCCACACCTTGCAATGCACCGTAGTGGGCCGCCACACCTTGCAATGCACCGTAGTGGGCCGCCACACCATGCAATGCACCGTAGTGGGCCGCCACACCATGCAATGCACCGTAGTGGGCCGCCACACCTTGCAATGCACCGTAGTGGGCCGCCACACCTTGCAATGCACCGTAGTGGGCCGCCACACCTTGCAATGCACCGTAGTGGGCCGCCACACCTTGCAATGCACCGTAGTGGGCCGCCACACCTTGCAATGCACCGTAGTGGGCCGCCACACCTTGCAATGCACCGTAGTGGGCCGCCACACCATGCAATGCACCGTAGTGGGCCGCCACACCTCTCAATGCTCACTAACGGGCCACAAGTTCCTGTGATCCGTAGTGGGCCGCCACACCTTGCAATGCACCGTAGTGGGCCGTCACACCTTGCAATGCACCGTAGTGGGCCGCCACACCTTGCAATGCACCGTAGTGGGCCGCCACACCTTGCAATGCACCGTAGTGGGCCGCCACACCTTGCAATGCACCGTAGTGGGCCGCCGCACCTTGCAATGCACCGTAGTGGGCCGTCACACCTTGCAATGCACCGTAGTGGGCCGCCGCACCTTGCAATGCACCGTAGTGGGCCGTCACACCTTGCAATGCACCGTAGTGGGCCGCCACACCTTGCAATGCACCGTAGTGGGCCGTCACACCTTGCAATGCACCGTAGTGGGCCGCCACACCTTGCAATGCACCGTAGTGGACCGCCACACCTTGCAATGCACCGTAGTGGGCCGCCACACCTTGCAATGCACCGTAGTGGGCCGCCACACCTTGCAATGCACCGTAGTGGGCCGCCACACCTTGCAATGCACCGTAGTGGGCCGCCACACCTTGCAATGCACCGTAGTGGGCCGCCACACCTTGCAATGCACCGTAGTGGGCCGCCACACCTTGCAATGCACCGTAGTGGGCCGCCACACCTTGCAATGCACCGTAATCATTTCTCCCCGAACTCTTCTGTCTTCCAGCGACATGAGGTGCAATTTACGCAGCCTTTCCTCCTAACTCATACCTCTTAGTTCTGGAACTAGTCTAGTGGTATAACTTTTAACCTTCTCCAGCTTCGTCTTATGTTTAACAAGGCATAGACCAGTGTGTGTGCAAGTACGTAGGAGCCTCACTACCTAAGCTAGCTACCTAAAGGTAGTATGGAGGGGCCTGACAGCTGAGTGGAGAGCGCTTGGGATACGTAGTCTTGTAATTCCAGGTTCGATCCCCGGTGGAGGCGGAATCAAATGGGCAGACTTTATTTCACCCTTATGCCCCCTGTTACCTAGCAGTAAATAGGTACCTGGGAGTTAGACAGCTGCTACGGGCTGCTTCCTGGGGGGGGGGGGGTGTAACAAAAAGGAGGCCTGGTCGAGGACCGGGCCGCGGGGACGCTAAGCCCCGAAATCATCGCAAGATAGCAACATGATGAGAGCTACGCTCCTGGTGTTCCCAGCACTCTGGGAACACCAACAGGCACAAAATCCTATAAAGAAACAACAGCCCCATCAATAAACGCAGAAAAAAAACGAAATGAAACGCGAGAAAAACTTAAGAGGTTTCTTTACCCCTTAAAAAGTATTCCAAATTAAGAGTGACGTTCTCATTAGAGAACTCTTAAGAGGTCTGTTAAATATTAATTATTTTAAATGAGCAGGAGAGTGTGTGTGGGGCGGGGGGGGGGGGGGCGGGGGGGATGGTGAAGATGATGTGGGGTGTGCAGTGATGATTGTGTAGTCACCGTGTGTGATGGTGTGGTTGTGTGTTGATGAAGCACAACACGGGCTGCTTCTGCCACAGATAAATAATAACAAAGTAAAAACAATATTTTATTATCATTCATATTCAATTATCACTAATCAATACACACTTATTCCCCCCCCCTCCTCGCCCCCCTTGTGGCTTGTCTGTCTCTCTTGTCCCTTCCTTTCGTTGATGTCTATTTGACTTAGTGTCTTGAGAAAGGTAATTAAGTAGTTGTAGTGAGATGCGTAATTTTGAAAGTAATTTTGTGTGTCGAAATTCCCTCGGTAAGTGCAAAGGTAATATTTCAGTGAGGAAAATATGCACGAGTAACGTCGATTGGACGTTGGTAACGTCGATTGGACGTTGGTAACGTCGATTGGACGTTGGTAACGTCGATTGGACGTTGGTAACGTCGATTGGACGTTGGTAACGTCTATTGGACGTTGGTAACGTCTATTGGACGTTGGTAACGTCGATTGGACGTTGGTAACGTCGATTGGACGTTGGTAACGTCGATTGGACGTTGGTAACGTCGATTGGACGTTGGTAACGTCGATTGGACGTTGGTAATGTTGATCCGACGAGGAAAAACATGAAAAACATGTTGATAACGCCTTGAATCAACACCAATAGTACATATTTGTGCTCACCGGGATGCATAGTAGTGAGGTTATCTTGAGATGATTTCGGGGGTTAGCGTCCCCGCGGCCCGGTCCTCGACCAGGCCTCCTTTTTTGTTACACATCCTCAGGAAGCAGCCCGAAGCAGCTGTCTAACTCCCAGGTACCTATTTACTGCTAGGTAACAGGGGGCATCAGGGGTAAAGAAGCTGTGCCCATTTGTTTCTGACTCCGCCGGGGATCGAACCCGGATCCGTAGGACTTCGAATTCTCAGCGCTGTACTGCAGTAATTTAAATAACTATTGCAAATCGATGTTTTGCAGTGTTCGGATTTTGATATATGTAAGCTGTTACTGTGTCTTTCATAAGTTATTAAATCTCTGCTGAATCAATCAGTCTGAATGGTAAGTGACTAATCTTGTCGTCTTACTAATTATTGAACTTATATGCTACATAAATAGCTTCAAAATTGTTGTTTAGGGTTCCAATTGCGTTATACAATTCCTGTATTCATATACAAAAATTATTTTTTTTATTTAAAAACTTTTGTAGTTTATGTAAATTTAAAAAAAAGAGTTAATATAATACTAAGTTTTAAACAAAACAAATTTAACAATAATTAATTACATTTATTACATAATATAAAAAAAATAAAACCTATTAATTTGCATTAAATACAAATAATATTTAAATAAAATACATGACCATTTATAAGAGGGCGTCCATCTTTGTCAAAGTTAGGAGGTCAGATGTTTGTGGCTAGCCTCGCCGACCTTGCAGCGAGAGTGGTCTGAGGTGCGGGACAGACTGAGATGAGAATTCTGGCCGGTTGAGGATGCCAGAACTCATGAGAGAAGAGCATGCCAGAGTCACACATTCTGACCCAAACGACAATTTTTTGGCACTACTAGCTGGGTACACCTTGATAAATATTTTGAAAACTAATCCTACAATGCATCGTAGTGGGCCGCCACACCTTGCAATGCACCGTAGTGGGCCGCCACACCCTGCAATGCACCGTAGCGGGCCGCCACACCTTGCAATGCACCGTAGTGGGCCGCCACACCCTGCAATGCACCGTAGCGGGCCGCCACACCCTGCAATGCACCGTAGCGGGCCGCCACACCTTGCAATGCACCGTAGTCGGCCGCCACACCTTGTAAAGCTGTGTGATCGCGGGTCACGCCTTAACGTGCTTCCTATGAGGTACCAAGCTAGTCCACAATTCAATATAATTATACTTTTCAAGCCTTACCCTACTAGTTTTACACACAGGAGGGTACAGGAGCAGACGACTGCTGACTCCTGTTAGCTGGCTGAGAGCTTTCCCTTCCCATAGCTCATGGTAAGCCTTACCCTACTAGTTTTACACACAGGAGGGTACAGGAGCAGACGACTGCTGACTCCTGTTAGCTGGCTGAGAGCTTTCCCTTCCCATAGCTCATGCAAGGAACAAGTGACCCTCTCCAGTTATCAAACAAATATAGCTGCTACGGGCCGCTTCCTGGGGATGTGTGTGTTTGCCCGCGCGCGAGTTAGAATTATATGTAGTAGATATAATAGAGAATTAATAGATTGGTTAGAGAGGCGGGGACCAAGGGCTAATAGTTCGATTTAGCAAACACAAATAGTAAACACACACACCGAACAGGCGCCACACACACACACACACACACAGGTAGGTAGTAGGTACCATAATAGGGTAGATAAAGACAAGCTATTTAACACAAGGGGAACACGCACAAGGGGACACAGGTGGAAACTGAGTGCCCAAATGAACCACAGAAATATTAGAAAGAACTTTTTTAGTGTCAGAGTAGTTGACAAATGGAATGCATTAGGCAGTGATGTGGTGGAGGCTGACTCCATACACAGTTTCAAGTGTAGATATGATAGAGCCCAATAGGCTCAGGAATCTGTACACCTGTTGATTGACGGTTGAGAGGCGGGACCGAAGAGCCAGAGCTCAACCCCGCAAACACAACTAGGTGAGTACAACTAGGTGAGTACACACACACACACACACACACACACACACACACACACACACACACACACACACACACACACACACACACACACACACACACATTTTCATTCATTCATACCCTGTTCCTTCAGCAGCTGAAACAACACGACCCTCGAGCCTGCTTCAGGTATGTCAACAGCTGATTCCATTCATACCTCTCTAGTATTTACACAGGTGGTAGAGGCCACCACACACCACTGGCGCCCGTGTTTACACCTGTCCATTGAGCCATACCGCTCAGCCGACTCTCACCTGTCCGAACAGATGTAACCTAACTGTATTGATTTGTTTTTGTATCGATCCATTTCCTTCATGGCGTTTGATAGTGTTTTATATTTTGGGTTGGTTGAATTTCTATTTGTTTAATCGACTTTTTGGTCCAGGACGGACCGAAACGTCGTCGTCCCTTCACCTTCTAGTGTGTGGTCTGGTCAACTGTATTTCCTTTTGTTTAATCGTAGTTTTTTCTAGTGGTTTATATCATCTGTTTGAATTTAATGATTTGACGAACGTCACATCTGATTTTTGTTGTTGTAGTTCAAGTATGTTTATTGAGGCAAAAAAAGAAATACATCTCAAAGGGATAGAGTAGCTTAGGCTATTTCTACCCCTCTTTGTTTTAGTCTTATCTGGACTACCGTATAGAACACAATGCGTGAGTATTGTGGTGAGTTTTGTTTATACTAATACCACTAGCAATTCTGACGATGCTGAGATTCCGTCTTCAGGAATTATAATTGATCCACTAGCATCTACAGCGATGCACTCCTCTCTAAATCAATGAAAGAACTGCGATGTCTATCTTGGCTCTAATTAGATCGCCTCCTGATTGTTGCTATGTATACTGAAGAGAAAAAACACATTGTTTTAAAGGTTTTGTCTTGAAATTCTTCAGAGAGACATCGTTTGAGTCGGGATTAGGCACGAAAGCTCTCAGCCAGCTAACAGGAGTCAGCAGTCGTCTGCTCCTGTACCCACCTGTGTGTAAAACTAGTAGGGTAAGGCTTACCATGAGCTATGGGAAGGGAAAGTTCTCAGCCAGCTAACAGGAGTCAGCAGTCGTCTGCTCCTGTACCCACCTGTGTGTAAAACTAGTAGGGTAAGGCTTCCCATGAGCTATGGGAAGGGAAAGCTCTCAGTCAGCTAACAGGAGTCAGCAGTTGTCTGCTCCTGTACCCTCCTGTGTGTAAAACTAGTAGGGTAAGGCTTACCATGAGCTATGGGAAGGGAAAGCTCTCAGCCAGCTAACAGGAGTCAGCAGTCGTCTATTCCTGTGTAAAAAAAACTATATATGTTAGCGGCTTCAATTCCGGTACCTCATAGGAAGCACGTTAAAGTGTGACCCGCGATCACGCAGCATTGCAAGGTGTGGCGGCCCACTACGGTGCATTGCAAGGTGTGGCGGCCCACTACGGTGCATTGCAAGGTGTGGCGGCCCACTACGGTGCATTGCAAGGTGGGGCGGCCCACTACGGTGCATTGCAAGGTGGGGCGGCCCACTACGGTGCATTGCAAGGTGTGGCGGCCCACTACGGTGCATTGCAAGGTGGGGCGGCCCACTACGGTGCATTGCAAGGTGGGGCGGCCCACTACGGTGCATTGCAAGGTGGGGCGGCCCACTACGGTGCATTGCAAGGTGGGGCGGCCCACTACGGTGCATTGCAAGGTGGGGCGGCCCACTACGGTGCATTGCAAGGTGGGGCGGCCCACTACGGTGCATTGCAAGGTGGGGCGGCCCACTACGGTGCATTGCAAGGTGTGGCGGCCCACTACGGTGCATTGCAAGGTGTGGCGGCCCACTACGGTGCCTTGCAAGGTGTGGCGGCCCACTACGGTGCCTTGCAAGGTGTGGCGGCCCACTACGGTGCCTTGCAAGGTGTGGCGGCCCACTACGGTGCATTGCAAGGTGTGGCGGCCCACTACGGTGCATTGCAAGGTGTGGCGGCCCACTACGGATCACAGGAACTTGTGGCCCGTTAGTGAGCATTGAGAGGTGTGGCGGCCCGGGTGGAGTGCCATCCTTCCGTATATTTTACGAGTTCATTTCTCCTTGGCTTTACGAGTCCTTAGTATTACTTAACGCTTGTGGGAAGCCGTGAGTGAAGCATATGGCCCGCGGCCGCTCCAAGGAGACAAAAATAACTGAATTGCTCCGAATATCTTTTGAGGAGCAAGAAGCTGGGACCACTTCTTGGGACCATTAGTAGGAATACGATAAAAATATAGGATTTGCGAATTATAATTTGGAAACTTATGCCATAATTTTGATGCTATTATTATAATATTATAAATTCAAAGTGGCTACAGGAGTTAAATACTGTACAGGAGCAGGGAATGATTTAGCAGATATTTAATTTTATGACAAAAATTGGAATAGTTTTCTTACGTCATTGTAACAATCTGAATTTTGCACAAGTATGATTTGCAATGAGACTTAGGAATTTCAACACTTTCTAGCTGATATCTAGTAACTATCATTACCTAGACTCAAAACCTAAATTTGTCAACATTAAAATGAATCTACCAATCAATCGAGCATTTCAAATGCAATAGAAACAGTTTATTGAATTCAGTGATCTTAAGTCTTGTTAATTTAACGCCAAAGTTTCCTGTTGGCTTGAAGTTGTAGTCTAATGGCTTTTGCGATTATTGAATCATAATGTATATTATTTGTATTTCTAAATTTTAATCACTGTCTTTTGCATCATGTACAATGGTTACCCAATTTATTTAATATATCAGTTGTATTTATTGCAATTTGTACAAGGTTTGATATTGATTTTAATTAAAGCAAATAATAAATTTTAAATTTTTCTAATATTGTCTAAATAATTTTATTATTATTAAATACTTTTTCATATTTTACATAGAAAACCAGCGATATTGTATACAAAAATACACTTTTGTATATGAATTGGGATTTGCAAATTTCACTTCGGAACCCTAAACCACAATTTTGGCGCTATTAATATAGCATTATACATTCATACCTTAATAAATTTTAATACGTAACTGGAACCAGCAAATGATTCCTAAGATAATTGGGAATCATTTAATTAATAACTTGCAACAATTCAATTGTTGCACAACATTAATTTACAAATATATTGGCAATATCAACACTTGAAACCATGATCATTACTTATCACCAGAACCCTAAGTTTGTGAACATTAAACTGCATCAGTATAACTGAGTTAGTGCAACAGTGTAGTCCTGAAGATGTTACATTGCTGACGAAACGTCGAAAAATATAAATGGAAAGATTAAGTGATCTGTTTCTTCTCCCTCCAGATAGGAAATATTTGCGTAGAATGGAAAATATAAAAAGTTTATATTTAACACAACAGCATGATGACTATTGACATGTAAATTAATAATATAGGGGTACCACCTCTAGTTGCGTTTGTAGGGACCCTCGACCTCGAAGAAGACAATATGTAGCACCCGGGGAGCTTTGTGGGGCACCCGCGTACACTCACATATTGTCTTCTCCTACCACCCCCTATATTTTTGTCATTTTATTTTATTTAAAATGTCATTACACAAAAGGCGTTACAACATTGGTTACTTGCAAGGTACAAGGCTACTTGTCACAGGTTATAGAATTCCTCCAGTCCCTCTGATGGCTGGCAGGAACCACAGATGCAGTGAGCATTTTCCTCTCAGGACTGCCACACTAAGGCGCTGAAAGTGGAAACTGGTGGCTCTAGGGTATCTAGTTGATTCAATTAGCTTAGAACCCAGCTTCTTCAGGAAACTAGCAGCACTTTTACCCCAGGCACCAAGTGTGTGTGAGGCAATGGGGACAAAATTGTAGTGGTGATCAAGGTATATGTATTTAAGAGATTCAAGCTGTTGCTGTATCGTCTGTTTTATGCTACTACAGCCAAAGTGTGGATAGCAGAATTTTTTTATTTTCCCAAGATCAATGAATAATGGTGTATATTACTATAAGAATTTGTTTATGAAATTAGTTTTCAAAATATTTATCAAGGTGTACCCAGCGAGTAGTGCCAAAAAATTGTGGTCTGGGTCAGAATGTGACTCTGGCATGCTCTTCTCTCATGAGTTCTGGCATCCTCAACCGGCCAGAATTCTCATCTCAGTCTGTCCCGCACCTCAGACCACTCTCGCTGCAAGGTCGGCGAGGCTAGCCACAAACATCTGACCTTCAAACTTGGACAAAGATGGACACCCTCTTATAAATGGTCATGTATTTTATTTAAATATAATTTATAATGCAAATTAATTGCTTTAAAATTTCTTTATATTTTTTAATAAATGCAAAAAATTTGTTTCAGGTTTGTTTCATTTAAAAATTTGTATTATATTCTTTCTAAATTTACATAAATTACCTAAGTTTTTATATAAGGAAACTAATTTTTGTATATGAATACAGGAATTTCACACCGTATTCGGAACCCTAAACCACAATTTTAAAGCTATTTATATAGCATATAAGTTCAATAATTAATAAGAACAAGATTAGTCACCTACCATACAGACTGATTGATACAGCAGAGATTGAATAACTGATGAAACGCACAGTAACAACTTACATATGCAGGCGATGAGTCACAATAACGTGGCTGAAGTATGTTGACCAGACCACACGCTAGAAATTGAAGGGACGACGACGTTTCGGTCCGTCCTGGACCATTCTCAAGTCGATCGACTTGAGAATGGTCCAGGACGGACCGAAACGTCGTCGTCCCTTCAATTTCTAGTGTGTGGTCTGGTCAACTTACATATATCAAAATCCCAACACTGCAAGACATCGATTTACAATAGTTATTTAAAATGACTGCAGTACAGCGTTTGGGATTCGGAGTCCTACGGTTCCGGGTTAGATTCCCGGCGGAGGAGGAAACAAATGGGCACAGCTTCTTTCGTCCTGATGCTCGGTCCACTTAGCAGTAAAAGGTACCTGGGAGTTAGACAGCTGCTACGGGCTGCTTCCTGGGGGTGTGTAACAAAAAGGAGACCTGGTCGAGGACCGGGCCGCGGGGACGCTAAGCCCTGAAATCATCTCAAGATAACTCCCCCCCCCCTCACCATCACCCTCGCCACATCATTATCACTATCATCTTCCTCCCCGCCCCTCCCCCCCCACCCCCCCCACCCCCCCCCCCCCACACACACACACCACCCCCCCCCCCCACACACACACACACACACCACCCCACACACACACACCACCCCCCCCCCACACACACCACCCCCCCCACACACCCCCCCCCCCCCACACACACACACCCCCACACACCCCCCCCCCCCCCCCCCCCCCCACACACACACACACACCTTGTCTTCACAACTGCCTCAGTCGTGTCTCCACGAAGGTAAACAGTCGACCTTTCGCCACGGCTCTGAGCCAGGCCGCCCCGAGGCCTGTACTGTCTCCAGTGGTCCGCTTGACTCTCATTAAGCCTTTTAAGGTGATGTATATTAACCTGAATTTACCCGAGGGCCACTAGTATCCTCGACGAGGACAGGCAGCTGGCGGCTTGTCAAAGATTCCATCCATTTGTCCTGATATGCAAATGAGAATTCGAATGCCTTTATGGTAAAATATATTTTTCTAGACTACGCGACTATGTGATTTAGTAATGATACTACAAATGTATATTTATAGTAAAATATTTAAAATAATAATATTTATAATAGTCACAGCTATATAATGGATACACATTACATATTTTTCTCTGATTTTTTTTTATATAAAAATATAGATCAAAATAATATGCCACTGAGTAGCAAACTTCTCAGGTTCTAGGGATCAATATATTATTACGAGATATATCATAACATCAAGAAATTATATTGTTGTAAAAAAACTGTAAAAAGTAAGTTTTCAATAAATAAGACAATTTTTATAATACACTAGAAAACGGAAAATGAAATGTTCATTCTGAATTATCTGCCTCCGGTTCCAGCAACCAATGGGGGAGCCCCCGGTTCCAGCAACCAATGGGGGAGCCTCTCGGTTCCAGCAACCAATGGGGCAGAGCCTCCGGTTCCAGCAACCAATGGGGCAGAGCCTCCGGTTCCAGCAACCAATGGGGCAGAGCCTCCGGTTCCAGCAACCAATGGGGCAGAGCCTCCGGTTCCAGCAACCAATGGGGCAGAGCCTCCGGTTCCAGCAACCAATGGGGTAGAGCCTCCGGTTCCAGCAACCAATGGGGGCAGAGCCTCCGGTTCCAGCAACCAATGGGGCAGAGCCTCCGGTTCCAGCAACCAATGGGGCAGAGCCTCCGGTTCCAGCAACCAATGGGGCAGAGCCTCCGGTTCCAGCAACCAATGGGACAGAGCCTCCGGTTCCAGCAACCAATGGGGCAGAGCCTCCGGTTCCAGCAACCAATGGGGCAGAGCCTCCGGTTCCAGCAACCAATGGGACAGAGCCTCTGGTTCCAGCAACCAATGGGGCAGAGCCTCCGGTTCCAGCAACCAATGGGACAGAGCCTCCGGTTCCAGCAACCAATGGGGCAGAGCCTCCGGTTCCAGCAACCAATGGGGCAGAGCCTCCGGTTCCAGCAACCAATGGGGCAGAGCCTCCGGTTCCAGCAACCAATGGGGCAGAGCCTCCGGTTCCAGCAACCAATGGGGCAGAGCCTCCGGTTCCAGCAACCAATGGGGCAGAGCCTCCGGTTCCAGCAACCAATGGGGCAGAGCCTCTGGTTCCAGCAACCAATGGGAGAGCCTCTGGTTGCAGCAACCAATGGGGGTTGCACTGACTCCAACTACCAGCAGAGAGGAGGGAAGGGAAGGTTCTGACACCAACAACCAATAGGGTTGTTGTGGCCCCCAGCAACCAGTACGAAGGTTCAGACTTCAGCAGCCAATAGGGAGTCTGGGTTCAGACTTCAGCAACCAATAGGGAGTCTGGGTTCAGACTTCAGCAACCAATAGGCAGTCTCTGTTTGCCGCTCGCCAAGCAGGCTCAACAGCTGGCGCGGGAAACTGGCAGACGTCGCGTGACTCCCGAGGCGAGAGGACGTGTGTCTTGTGAACTCTCCCGCCTGGTGACTGGAATGCGTGTGTATGCGTGTGTGTGTGTTTCTGTGGTCGAAGTGAATTAACGAAACTTGCTACGTGCGGTGAGATGAATCGTCATTATTTTTCAGATGTGATGGAACGAAATAAGTTTGCGAGAACTTTAGTGAAATCTGACAAACATTATTAGTTCGTTTCCACCTTGGAGCGATGACAGACCTCGAGGGAGGTGCACGATTTGCCTCGCAAAGTGTTCACAAAATAAGAAGAAAATCACTAACTAGAAAAGACAAAAATATCTTAACTGAAAATACATAAAACTTTGATGACAAAAATGATCGCTGAGTGCGTTTGCCGAGTGCAGTGGATGGGTGTTCGCTAGGTCAGGGTAATAAAGCATTTTGACCATTGAGCTGTAAAACCAATTCCCAGTGAAGTCCAACTCTACTAGATGATAATTCTGGCCGGACGTCAAACACAGTGAAACCATAACAGCGTTTATTAAACAAAACAAACAAAGATTAAGACCTAAAATAGATTCAAACCTAAAAAAAAATAAAGTTTGTCTAGTTAGATTTTATTTTGGTGGCAAAGCTCCGAGTGAACGGATTTATTTGGCATTACAAGCGGAAATTATTATTCTGTAGTGAATAAAGAAAAGAAAAACCATTATATTCCAGAACAGAGCTGTTATATTCAGAACTAAAATAAATAGTCTCCCCTTTGATCAAGAAAAACAAAATCGAGTTCTATTTTCCACAGAATAACTAAAGTATCAAATCTAAAACTTATAAGGAAACACAGTCAGTGTCTGAGAACCAATCCAAACAAAATTAAAATAACCAGTCAACAAAACAGTAGTGAGTGTAAAACCTGCCGTACGCGGCATGATAGACCTAGTGCGAGGAATAATCTGGTGTAACGAAATAATTTTGTCAGTCAAACGAAAATTAAAAAGGTCTAACAGTGAGCGAAAAGGTTCAAAGCATTAAAATTATAAAACTGTTGAAAGCAAAGAAATAAGTTAATATCGAAAACGCGTATAAAGTAATCTACAGTGGAAAAAGTAAACATATATGCAAATATATACTTTTTTCGGTCATATATAACAACATATGTTTACAAGAAAGAATGCTATCAAAATATACTAAAATATATACCTATATATATATAACAAACAACGAATGTGAACAGAAAAATAAAGTTTATAGTTGTGCAAAACAATGCTTAACAAAAACGAGTTTTAACGATATATAAACAGAACTATTGCCAAAAGCAAACATTTTGTGCTCAAAAGCCTCCTCACAGCATTATAAAACTTTCACAGGTGTTTCGTTTCATTGTAAAATCATTGCACAGGTGTGAAACGAAACTGTGAACCACAGGTGTGAAACTGACGACATATGATATCAGAACACACGATATCTAACCCCAAAAATATATAATAAAGGAAATTTACTGTGACTATAAAAAAAAATTATTTTAAAAAACTCGACTGAAGCCTTGAAGGTAACGACATATCAGGAAATCCACATGAACATCATACGAGAAATCGGAGGCAATAAACCGTATCTGACCTTACACGAACGATCTATAAGATAACCCCAGAGTGTGAGATTCGGATAACTAGGAGACTTCTCTTATCCGGCCGGGATGGACCCGAAAGACTGGCTGAATTTAAGACAGGTCTATCGGGCGCGTTTCACTGCAGCCTCGTCCAAGATGGATTCTAAGATCAGCTTCGCTCGCTGTAAACGAGGTGAGTAGCGATGTATACCCGCCCTTCGTGGGTGGCTATGTATAGCCGCCCTTCGCAGGTGGCTATGTATAGCCGCCCTTCGTGGATACCTATGTATACCCACCCTTCGTGGATACCTATGTATACCCACCCTTCGTGGATACCTATGTATACCCACCCTTCGTAGGTAGTTACGTATATCCACCCCTTGTAGGTAACTATGTATTCCCACCAGTTGTAACTATATATATATATATATATATATATATATATATATATATATATATATATATATATATATATATATATATATATATATATATATATATATATATATATATATATATATATATTATATATATAGCTATTATATATATATATAATAGCTATATATATAATATATATATATTATATAATATTATATATATAGCTATTATATATATAGCTATTATATATATAGCTATTTATATATATAGCTATTTATATATATATATATATATATATATATATATATATATATATATATATATATATATATATATATATATATATATATATGTCGTACCTAATAGCCAGAACGCACTTCTCAGCCTACTATTCAAGGCCCGATTTGCCTAATAAGCCTAGTTTTCATGAATTAATGTTTTTTCGTCTACCTAACCTACCTAACCTAACCTAACCTAGCTTTTTTTGGCTACCTAACCTAACCTTACCTATAAATATAGGTTAGGTTAGGTTAGGTAGGGTTGGTTAGGTTCGGTCATATATCTACTTTAATTTTAACTACAATAAACAAAAATTGACCTCATACATAGAGAAAAGGGTTGCTTTATGATTTCATAAGAAAAAAATTATAGTAAATATATTAATTCAGGAAAACTTGGCTTATTAGGCAAATCGGGCCTTGAATAGTAGGCTGAGAAGTGAGTTCTGGCTACTAGGTACGACATATATATATATATATGTCGTACCTAGTAGCCAGAACGCGCTTATCAGCCTACTATGCAAGGCCCGATTTGCCTAATAAGCCAAGTTTTACTGAATTAATATATTTTCTCTAATTTTTTTCCTATGAAATGATAAAGCTACCCATTTCATTATGTATGAGGTCAATTTTTTTTAGTGGAGTTAAAATTAGCGTAGATATATGACCTAACCTAACCAACCGTACCTAACCTAACCTAACCTATCTTTATAGGTTTGGTTAGGTTAGGTAGCCGAAAAAGTTAGCTTAGGTTAGGTTAGGTAGGTTAGGTAGTCGAAAAACTATTAATTCATGAAAACTTGGCTTATTAAGTAAATCGGCCCTTGAATAGTAGGCTGACAAGTGCATTCTGGCTACTAGGTACGACATATATATATATATATTATACACACACACACACACACACACACACACCATTAGTTAGCACACAATTTCCATTAGGAATATGGGTAATGACATTCCAGTTCCATAATCCAAATAGATTTTAGTAGCCAATGACAAGACGCGGCTGTTTTACCAACATTTATTAAAATTATTTTGCCATCCAAAACCTAAAAAAGAAATTAAAGTGATGAAGTTTTAGTCCTACTTGGCAACAGTCCAGTAGGGACCGAAACATCGTCGCGCGAACCTGAACAATATGTTCTGTTAATTGGGTGGTTGAGGTTTTCCAATTAGTTCATTCTGAGGTCAAGTTTTGCCTCTTGATATTCCAAAAATAAGATGAGTGCTTGAAGAAACTATTCATCTAGTAACTGGGGAAAGAGCTTAGGCTATTCACTGTATGAATAGCATTCACTGGATGATGGGACGCCAGCCTTTGGACTGAGGTAGCCTAGCTCTATGGCTAGAGTGACTGAACAAGCCTAGCTCTATGGCTAGTGACTGAACAAGTCTAGCTCTATGGCTAGAGTGACTGAACAAGTCTAGCTCTATGGCTAGTGACTGAACGAGCCTACCTCTATGGCTAGAGTGACTGAACGAGCCTACCTCTATGGCTAGAGTGACTGAACGAGCCTATCTCTATGACTAGAGTGACTGAACGAGCCTACCTCTATGGCTAGAGTGACTGAACGAGCCTACCTCTATGGCTAGAGTGACTGAACGAGCCTATCTCTATGGCTAGTGACTGAACGAGCCTACCTCTATGGCTAGAGTGACTGAACGAGCCTACCTCTATGGCTAGAGTGACTGAACGAGCCTATCTCTATGGCTAGAGTGACTGAACGAGCCTACCTCTATGGCTAGAGTGACTGAACGAGCCTACCTCTATGGCTAGAGTGACTGAACGAGCCTATCTCTATGGCTAGAGTGACTGAACGAGCCTACCTCTATGGCTATAGTGACTGAACGAGCCTACCTCTATGGCTATAGTGACTGAACGAGCCTACCTCTATGGCTATAGTGACTGAACGAGCCTACCTCTATGGCTAGAGTGACTGAACGAGCCTAGCTCTATAGCTAGAGTGACTGAACGAGCCTACCTCTATGGCTAGAGTGACTGAATGAGCCTACCTCTATGTCTAGAGTGACTGAACGAGCCTACCTCTATGGCTAGAGTGACTGAACGAGCCTAGCTCTACGGCTAGAGTGACTGAACGAGCCTACCTCTATGGCTAGAGTGACTGAACGAGCCTATCTCTATGGCTAGAGTGACTGAACGAGCCTACCTCTATGGCTAGAGTGACTGAACGAGCCTACCTCTATGGCTAGAGTGACTGAACGAGCCTACCTCTATGGCTAGAGTGACTGAACGAGCCTACCTCTATGGCTAGAGTGACTGAACGAGCCTACCTCTATGGCTAGAGTGACACCAGTCATGCCAACAGCTGACACTCGCATTGCGCCAGTCACAACCGGAAGCCGAAACCGTCGCATCATTTGTCAATGTCAAAGTCATTCTCAAAATTTATGGTTGTCAGTGAGTTAGTGTTGTACTTTCACTATTATTATTATTATTATTATTTTAGAAATCGAAATTCGTAATTGTATTTAAACCTCCTTTGTTTACTTACCATTTTAAAAGCACGTGGATTTGTTTGTTTATTTCTGGTGTGGTGTTGGGTTTAAGGTCTGTAATTCAACCTTTGGAGGCAAAATATTAAGGCTTATGAACCTTTGGAGGGTTATTAAGGCCTATCAAACAACCTCTGGAGGGTTATTAAGGTCTATCAAACCACCTCTGGAGGGTTATTAAGGTCTATCAAACCACCTCTGGAGGGTTATTAAGGTCTATCAAACCACCTCTGGAGGGTTATTAAGGTCTATCAAACCACCTCTGGAGGGTTATTAAGGTCTATCAAACCACCTCTGGAGGGTTATTAAGGTCTATCAAACAACCTCTGGAGGGTTATTAAGGCCTATCAAACAACCTCTGGAGGGTTATTAAGGTCTATCAAACAACCTCTGGAGGGTTATTAAGGCCTATCAAACCACCTCTGGAGGGTTATTAAGACCATAATAGCTTACTGACCAACCAGCAAGTATACTTTAGTCCTGACCCGAGGACTAAAGTATACTTAAGAGTATACTGAGTACACTTTGAAGGAAGATATACATTTTTGTATATCTGTAACCCCTCTCACTGTACCTGTGACTGTATCTTGCTTAAGATCTGAATTCCCCGGCTCCAGGATCTTTGAATGTTTGATGACAGCCGGCTGGTGGAGCCCGATGCCTCCTGTATACGACTGTCATCTGTTTGGCGGGGGGTGATGGGGGTGTTTGGGGGGGCGTTTTGTGTGTTGTGGAGGAGTTCGTTGTATGTGGGGGTTCTATGTAGGGTGGTATGTGTGTGTGAAAGGGGGGGGAGGTTGATACGTGGGTCGCTATTGCCGAGGTATCAATTTCCAGCATCTTGAGTGCTTGTTGTGTAATGTTGAAATTGCATTACAAAGTAACCAGGTGATTGTGTGTGTGTGTGTGCGCGCACGCGCGCGCACACACACACACACACACACACACGCGCACACACACACACACACACACACACACGAAAGCAATCACAGTCAGTGAGAACAAAGAAAGGAGGAGAGAAAAAAAAGGGGAAAAAGAGAGAGACAGACAGAGAAAGACAAAGAGAGAGAGAGAGAGAGAGAGAGACAGAGAAAGAAAGAGAGAGACATAGAAAGACAGAAAGAGACAGAGACAGGAGACTAATCCTGGGAGAGGTGTATGTCTCTCTGTCCCCGCCACACCTCCACAGGTGTCGACACACCTGGGGGAGGCGCCCCCGGGGGGAGGCGCCCCCGGGGGGGTGGCGCCCCCAGGAATGAGATGCATCGCCACGACGACCGAAGAAGGATGTGAATTTGTTAACAGTATTGAATTTCCTGTTTGAAGTGGCTTGTCCTCTGACTGGTCTGGTCTGGGGCTTGTCCTCTGACTGGTCTGGTCTGGGGCTTGTCCTCTGACTGGTCTGGTCTGGGGATTGTCCTCTGACTGGTCTGGTCTGGGGATTGTCCTCTGACTGGTCTGGTCTGGGGCTTGTCCTCTGACTGGTCTGGTCTGGGGCTTGTCCTCTGACTGGTCTGGTCTGGGGCTTGTCCTCTGACTGGTCTGGTCTGGGGCTTGTCCTCTGACTGGTCTGGTCTGGGGCTTGTCCTCTGACTGGTCTGGTCTGGGGCTTGTCCTCTGACTGGTCTGGTCTGGGGCTTGTCCTCTGACTGGTCTGGTCTGGGGCTTGTCCTCTGACTGGTCTGGTCTGGGGCTTGTCCTCTGACTGGTCTGGTCTGGGGCTTGTCCTCTGACTGGTCTGGTCTGGGGCTTGTCCTCTGACTGGTCTGGGGAGTGTTAAGTATCAAGCAGGGAGGAACGAGGCAGTTAGGGGGGGGAGAGAGAGAGAGAGAGACAGACAGACAGACAGACAGACAGACAGACAGACAGACAGACAGACAGACAGACAGAGACAGAGAGAGAGTTGGAGGACTGTTATCACATCCAGTTCCTCCAGTTAATCCCTTACATCTTCCAGTCAAATCGGTGATCTTGTTCCCAGTTTGATAACTTCCTCGAAGTCTCCTTTACTGTGCAGCTC